TAAGACTCACAAAGATAACCAAACAAGAACCAAGAAACATGATGCAAGGATGCAATGGTTTGAGCTCTCTACTAATGATACGATCAAGCTACCAACTTGAGAGCCCCCCTTGATAGTATGGCAAACGATCCTATAACTCGGTCTCCCAACTACCACCACAAGACCGGTAAAATAGAAAACCTATCAAGGGAAAACCTTTGCCTTGCACATGGTCCACTTGAGCTAGATGAAGACGATCTTGACTCCCTCAAGTTGGACCACCTTTCTTGATTGCGTTGGCTCGATGAAGACTAGATGATTGCTCCCCCATAGTTCACTATGGGTGAGCCACTCTTCGGTACATCTTCACAAGTCCATTGACACCACAATGGATGGCAAGATTCAAGCACTTGATCTCTTCGTGATGCTCCACTTGAACTTGCACACGGCAATCTTGATGACAATCACCACTTGATGTCATCCTTTCCATGGGTTGTATGATATCTTCCTCTTGACGCAAGCCCATGGATACGTACCTAACCCACATACAACTCTCACATAGACCATGGGTTAGTACATAAAGTTTAATGGACAATGCTTACCGTACCATGGGATCACTTGATCCCTCTCGGTACATCTTCTATGCTTTGTGAGTTGATCAACTTGATTCACTCTTGACTTAGTCTTGATCAACCTTGAATATTTGCAACTCTCTTCATTTGGATGATGTCTTGAAGGTAAACATGAATGATCACACAACCTTCTTATTCAAGACATGCTTGCAATAAGCTCAACACTCGCATGACCAATCTTTGGATAATTCCTTAATAGCACCTTGGTCAACTCAAAAACTCCTTGAAACCAACTCATGGACTTCAAGAAAAGCCTATGGACAAATCCTTCAAATACAACTAAAGACAACCATTAGTCCATAGAGATTGTCATCAATTACCAAAACCAAACATGGGGGCACCGCATGTTCTTTCATCCGCACAAGTGATCTTTGAGGAATTTGACATTCTCAATGCCAATGACATGTTTCTTCTTCGCAAGCATGTGCAGATTCCTCATGCCAGCATGACCAAGTCGTCGATGCCATAGCCAGCCTTCTGAAGCTTTTGCAAGTAAGCACACGGCTGGTTGTGGTCGTGTAGAGAAATCAACAATATACAAGTCTCCTCTCCTAAAGCCTTCGAAGACTTTGGAATGGTCAGCTTCCATGATCACAACACAACGATATCTTCCAAAGACAACAACCTTATCAAGATCACAAAGCATTGAGACAGACATGAGGTTGTATCCTAAGGACTCGACAAGCATGACTTTGTCCATGTGTCGATCCTTTGAGATCGCAACCTTACCTAGACCCAATACCTGACTTTTGCCTTTGTCTGCGAAAATGATATGCTTCAGATGTGATGGTGATAAAGGAGCATCCATCAATAGATTCTTGTCACCAGTCACGTGATTCGTACATCCACTATCGAGGACCCACTCGTTTGCTTTGGGTTGATCATCCTGCAGATGAATTAGTGCAACTTACGAACTCATATACTTCATTAGTGAAGAATATGACATCAATATCATCAGAACAATTTCATCAAGCAACGGCACAGATAAATGAGTATGAGGACGTGTGAAATGAACAATCATTTCTTCATGATTAGCCTGCGTCCTTTCAGGCATATTCAGGTCTCTAGCAAATTCTTCAGACGTTTTGAGCACGTCTGGAAACCTGACCCTGCATAAGAGATTAGTTCTTTTTCTTCACCGCCCACATCTGAAGGGGTGGCAAAGAATTCATCACTCTGCGAGCACCATATGAAAAAGGTGGCATAGAAGCCAGTCCGCTTCGTTTCACATAAAAGGGGTTAGGGTAAGCATATGAATAAGCAGAGAAATTCTTCGAGGACTTATGAACATAATGATTTGAAGAATAAAGCTCATATTCATAGCCCTTAGCTCTACCCTGCGAAACAAAGGGGTTAGCACGATGATGATCATGTGAGGATTTTGATCCGGTTGAAGAATTTGATCCATATGAAGAATTAGGTCCATATGAAGAATTTGATCTGGGGTTCCTATTCTTCACTGGTTGTGTCATGAGGACATTCACCTGAAGACTTTCAAGATGACTTTTGGGAACCCAGATTTTCTTCATAGGGGAACCGTTCCTGCAGTTAGTGCCAACATATCTAGCAAATACTTCACCATTCTGATTTTTGAACAGTTTATAGTTGGAGTCAAATGACTCATCAGAAGAATGAGGAGATTCACATGTAAAGCCAGATAAATTGGATGGATCAACTGGAGGTCCCTTTGCAGCAACCCATGAGGTTTTCGGATACTGCTCAGGCTTCCAATATGTTCCATCAACATTGAGTTTCCTTTCAAAGGCAATACCCTCTTTCCTAGGGTTCCTGTTGAGGATCTGCTTTTTAAGCACATCACAAAGAATCTGATGCTCTTTGAGACTTTTGTACATGCCTGTCGTGTACAATTCCTTCAGCCCTGCATCATCGGTAGTACTTGTAGTGTCCTCAGATGAGGAATTAGTGATAGCAGAGACATGTGAAGAATTTGTAACATTTAAAGCATTTGAACATTCAGGTGAAGAATTAGCAGATTCACGTTCAATGCAGTTCAGACATGGAGGAACAAATTCTTCCTGAGTATCGCTGATTTGTTGAGCAAGTAATGAATCGCGCTCCTTCTGAAGATCTTCATTCGCCCTGGAAAGGAGCCATTGGAGCTCTCCGGCAGGCCACTCTGGCCGCTGCCACCGTCCGAGCTAGGCGACCTAAGCTAGAGCTCCAACGTCTGTGATCCCTTAGCCTGCCAACGTGGATGAGTGTTGGGTCTTCCAGCAGTTGACGGAAGGATGGATGGCACGCGGTCGGGTTCACCACCGTCTTTGGAGGCTCAGGCACCCAAAGCAGACGACACGCTGGAATTTCATCCGGATCCACACACCATGCCCGTAGCTTTAAGAGGGAGAGGTCCTCTCTGTTAACCGTCTCGGGCGCCAAGCTCTCAATCAGGCACGATGTACCCAACAGCTCCATAGCCGTCTCCCTCGACCATGCATGCGATGGCACCCCCTCAATCATGAGATCGACCTGAACGCACATCAGCTTGGACTTCGCTTGCGCCTGTCACAGCCATGGCTTGTGAAAAGCTTGAATCCCTGATACTCAACGAATGATACCCCCCAGAGCTCTGTTACGGAGATCATGCGACACAAAGACCACCAAGAAATCTTCGGGATGGAACTTGTGCACTGAAAAACAGTGCCTTGGGATGTCGAGCTGCTCTGAGATGGCGATCGCCGCATCCACGTAGGTGACCGGTGGCCTCGCGCCGCCCACGTAAGCCACCGCCGCCAACTGCAGATGCGCTCTAGGTCTGTCATTCCTGCCGAACGCTGCAGAATGCAAACATCTGCACGCACCAGCGGAGGCAGACTTGTGGACACCATGGGAGGGAAGCCGGGCGCAACTGGCGAGGAAAGCGTCGGAGGCGTGTCCTGCCTAGGCTCCATCGGCCTTCCCCCCCATGGCCGATGCCGGCAAGGTCTGGCGGGTGTTGGACACCTTGTGGATCATAGCCCGCCGCAGCTCCTCCGCCGAGATCGGACTGCGCGACACCGTGCACTGGGAGGAGACATGCCCTGAGAAACCACAACGGATTCAGAGCGGTTCGTTCGTGCAATCACTCCGTGGATGCACCTCCTGAAAGCACCTGAAGCAGAGGTCGTACAATTCCGGTGGAATCAGACGCCTTCCGAGGAGGAGGAAGATGGCACGGGGCTCCTCTGACCGCCAGCCTCCTGCTGGCGCCGCAGAGCATAATGACGAAGCCAGCGGGCCTTGCGGGTCGGACCTGACCTGCACCACCCCGCCGCTTGTGTCGGCGCCTCAACCTCGGCCTGGGTCGCACCAGCCGACGACGAGTTGGGCGACCCGGGCGAGATGGACATGCCAAGCTCCGAGACCACCGGACTCTCCCGCAGGAAGGCAGATGGCACCGAGGGCGGGCTGCGAGATCCCGACGCCATGGGTGCATGCGGGGGAGGGGG